TGGGGGTCTTGTGGGCCGTCCTGAAGCAATTGGAGTCCCTCTTGGAGCGCTCTTGTGCTGTCTGGGGCCTCCCTTGAGCCTTTCTGATGACCCCTCTGATCGCTGTGGGGCTGCTGGCAAGGCGTTTGTGGAGACCTGGAAAGCCAGGTGACCTTTTCCAAGGACGTCCAAGGGAGCCAGACAACCCCAGATCCCGGGGATCCAGTTTGGGGGGGGGGGGGGGGGACGTTTTTCCCCCCCCCCCCCCCCGGGCTTGTAAAAATATAGGAAGAGGAATATGTGTATATATATGTATGTGTGTAGATATACACATATATATAACAAAAAACAACAAAACAAAACAAAAGACAAACAACAGTGCAGGATCCGTTTTGGAGAGCCCCGGGGCCCGACGGCAGGCCCCATGGAGGCCGAGGTCCGAGGGAGACGCCGGGACTCAACAAAAAAACCGTGCCCTCAGAGATCCGGGAGACCCGGCCCGGGGCCCCTGCACCGAGGCCGCGGCCGTCCGCGAGCAGGAGGTAGGTGACCCCGTCGGCGCCCCGCCGCTCCTGCCGCGCGCCGCGTGCGGGGGGGGGGGGGCGCCCGGGAGCTCGAGCGCGGGCTGGGCCCTCCGCAGTCACGGCCGGCTCAGTCCGTGGCCCCGTGAGCCGTCGGCCCCCTCCGTGGGGTTCAGTCGGGCCCGTCCCTCTGCAGGGGGAACACTCAAAAATAGTCAAAAAATAGTCTGGGGACGATTTGCTGAGTATCTTTTGACCATTTGGGGGTATTTTTGGGGTATCTTTTAATCTTTCGTCCAAAACCCCCCTGGTAGGGGGACAGGCCCGACTTAACCCTGGGGCCAACTCGCGCGCGTGATCGAGAAGGAGCAGGTCCAGACCCCCTCGCGCCGTCAGAGGCGACGGCGGGCGGGACAGTGGGGGAGATCTGGCGGTGTTTGGCCCCTGAGGCCCCCTGACGGGACTCGGGGGGCGTCAAAGCCCGACTCAGGGCGAAAGGCTGGCGGGGTCGAGATGCCCAGGGCCCACGTTGCAAAATACACACGAGGTCGGAGGTCTGCGGAGGAGCAAGATGAAGAGGATCGAAGATCGCACTTGGACGTGGTCAATCTTCACCCCAGACCAATTCCTGCTGACCCTAGGGGCCCGAAAAGGGAAACCTAAATTAAAGGAAAAATGCCGCGATGAAAATGTCAATGCGCTGGAGGCCTGGAGAACTCGCGTGGGTGTCTCGGCGCTCTGGCCAGTGCCCGTCTGGCCTGAAATCCTCGCGGGCGGGCAGATGTTTCCAGACATCTGGCGTCACAACCTCTGCGCGGAATAGGTTTCTGGACCCCGACTCCCCCGGGACCAGAGTCTGTTCCTGAAACGTTGTTCTGACGGCCCCGTGGCCCTAGAAGGGCCCCGAGACCAAGCTTATGGAAAACCAGCCAAATCGATGACTGCATGACGACGGGCGCATGTGTCTTTTCCACCACCACCACCACCTCCTCCTCTTCATCCTCCTCCTCCTCCTCCTCCTCCTCCTCCTCCTCCTCCTCCTCCTCATCGTCATCACCATCACCATCACCACCACCACCACCATCATCATCATCATCATCATCATCATCATCATCATCATCATCATCATCATCATCATCATCATCAGCAGCAGCATTAGCATCAGCATCCGCATCATCATCATCATCATCATCATCAGCAGCAGCAGCAGCATCAGAATCTGCCTCATCATCGTCATGATGATCATCATCATCATCATCATCATCATCATCATCATCATCATCATCATCATCATCATCATCATCATCATCATCATCATCATTATCATCATCATCATCATCATCATCATCATCATCATCATCATCATCATCAGCATCATCATCATCATCGTCATCATCATCATCATCGTCAGCAGCAGCATCATCATCATCATCATCATCAGCAACATCAGCAACATCATCAGCAGCAGCATCATCAGCAGCAGCACCATCAGCATCATCATCATCATCATCATCAGCAGCAGCAGCAGCATCAGTATCATCATCAGCAGCATCATCATAATGCTCATCATCATCATAATCAGCATCAGCATCATCGCCATCATCATCCGCATCATCAGCATAAGCATCATCATCATCAGCAGCATCATCATCGGCAGCATCAGCATCATCATCACCATCACCATCATCCTCATCATCGGCACCATCACCATCATCAGCAGCAGCATCAGCATCACCACCACCATCGTCATCGTCATCACCACCATCAGCATCCTCATCATCCTCACCATCATAATCGTCATCATCAGCATCATCACCACCCCCATCATCATCATCATCATCATCATCATCATCATCATCATCATCATCATCATCATAATCATCATCATCATCATCATCATCATCAGCATTAGCATCAGCATCAGCATCATCATCATCATCATCAGCAGCAGCAGCATCAGAATCTGCCTCATCATCGTCATGATCATCATCATCATCATCATCATCATCATCATCATCATCATCATCATCATTATCATCATCATCATCAGCATCATCATCATCGTCATCATCATCATCATCATCATCGTCAGCAGCAGCATCATCATCATCAGCATCATCAGCAACATCATCATCAGCAGCATCATCAGCAGCAGCACCATCAGCATCATCATCATCAGCAGCAGCAGCATCAGTATCATCATCAGCAGCATCATCATAATGCTCATCATCATAATCAGCATCAGCATCATCGCCATCATCATCCGCATCATCAGCATAAGCATCATCATCATCAGCAGCATCATCATCGGCAGCATCAGCATCATCATCACCATCACCATCATCCTCATCATCGGCACCATCACCATCATCAGCAGCAGCATCAGCATCACCACCACCATCGTCATCGTCATCACCACCATCAGCATCCTCATCATCCTCACCATCATAATCGTCATCATCAGCATCATCACCACCCCCATCATCATCGTCATCACCACCATCATCATCATCATCATCAGCATCATCAGCATCATCATCGTCATCAGTATCCGTTTCCTCTTCCTCCTGTTCTTCCTCCTGCTCCTCCTCGTCCTCCTCCTCGTCCTCCTCCTCGCTCTCGTCCTCCTCCTCCTCCGCCTCCTCCTCCTCCTCCACCTCCTCCACCTCCTCCTCCTGCTCCTCCTCCTCCTCCTGTTCCTGTCCCTCCTCCTGCTCCTCCTCCCACCGCATGTGGATAGCAGGCAACTCCTCCTCCTCCTCCTCCTCCTCCTCCTCCTCCTCCTCCTCCTCCTCCTCCTCCTCCCCTTCGAGCGCGGCACAGTGGCAGTGCCACCCAGGGAGTTCTGGACGGCAAGCTTGGGGGTTGCAACGCCGCGAGGAGCTGGGGCGCCATTGACGGGCAGGGGCGCGAGCGCTGGCACGCGCAATTACCCTGACGAGGCAGGCGAATCCGGAGAACTCGGTGCTACAGCTGACGATGCAAAGGGGGACCAATCCAGCGGCCTCTACCAGCGAGGCTGGAGGCCACCGCAGCGGAGGACCAGATCCATATCCGCTGCGGGTCGGAGACGGTCTGAGCTGCGGGCGTTGTTCCTCCACTTCCCTTCTCCTCCCCCCTCCTCCTCCTCCTCCTCCTCTGCCCCCGCCTCTCCCTCGGACCCCTCGGACCTCCGGCCTTCGAAGCGGTGAAGGGCACGCCATCAAAGCCAAGAGCCTTAGGAATAGAAGAGAAAGAAAATTTACGGCGAAGGGCCATGCCACCAAAAGCAACACAGCCTCAGGGACCGAATAGTAAGAGGTGCCGAGCGCTGCCACCAGGTGCAGCAGCAGGCTCCTTCGTTTGCGAGCGTGCTAGCCAACGCGATGCCCCCCCCCACACTTCACATAAAGCCCATGTAAGTGTTTACCTACGCGGTGAAGGCGTCTGGCGTTTTGCGTCTGCCATGAACGTCATGACTTAATCAGCAAAGTCCACTGCACTATCCTCCTCGCCCTCCTCCGCCTCATCTTCCTGAAAACAACTACCCCGAAATCGCAAAAACGAATGCAGCAGTGGCCACGAGAACGCTTCAGGAGGAGCGGCACAGGCGCACAGCCTTCGAAGGAAACCTGGTCCTCCCTCCTCCTAGGACAGAATTCCTGAGGTCCTCGAAAAACTCTGAAGCCCCGCGAGACTCTCAAAGGTCCCCGGACCGGGAGGCTTCCAGGACCTCAACACGCAGAAAAACATCAAACATCGACGACGACTGGACGACGACTGGACGACGACGACGACGACGACGACGACGACGACGACGACGACGACGACGACGACGACGACGACGACGACGACGACGACGACGACGACTGGACGACGACGGCGACGACGACGACGACGACGACGACGAGGACGACGGCGGCGGCGGCGGCGGTGGCGGCGGCGGCGGCGGCGGCGGCGGCGGCGGCGGCGACGGCGACGACGGCGACGACCGCACGGCGACGGTGGCGATGCCGACGGAGACGGCGACGGCCATGGCGGCGGCACGGCGAGCGCGACGGCGGCGAGCGCGATCGACGGCCGGGCTCGCGGGCGCCGCCCGCGGGGGCCGAGCCCCAAAGGCGGGCCCGACGGGTGGCGGGCCTGGCTCGGGCCGCGGCACGGTCGGCCGCTCGTGGGACCGCGGACGCGCCAGCTGCTTGCCCGCCCGCCAGGGCCGCAGCTGCTTCGATAGTGGCACTGCAGCCAGGGACCTGCAAAGTTCACTGGCGAACGCGGCATATGGCCGGGTCTTTAACGAGCTCCACCCCGCGCTGGAATTCCTCTAGCTCATCGTACCGAAAAGCTCAACGAGGTACCTGGACGGGGCGGGGACTGGGGGGAGGCTGGCCGAGCTTCGAGCAGCGGATCGACCACAAAGCGCATTTACCCCGGAAGCTAGATGCTCGTCGAAACAAATGAAAGTACGTAGAATATCTGTGTGTGCACGAACCGTCTACGCACTTGTTTCTTAATTTTGGCGCGGGAATCACAATCGGGGTAAATCAATTCTGTAGTCAATCCCCTACACGGGAGTTGGAGGGGGAAAGGATCGAGGTCGGGGACGGGAGATGGCATGGTAGCTCATCGGTGTGTCCGCCACCAGTCGCGAAAACGTCCTCATGTCAATCGCCACAGATGGATGACCCCTTTTTCCTCGCTCCGCGCGCTGCTGTCAAAAGGCATGGGGTCCTCCCGGGGCTGAGCGCCCACGGGGGGGAGCGCCGCGCGCAGAGGACTGGCGGCGAGCACGGGGGGAGGGAGTGAGAAGGAGAATGCCTTCTCCGAAGGCTCGCGAGTCCCCGGGGCTTCTGAGAAGCGTTCTCTGAGCATTCCCCGAGGACACAGAGCACGCCTCCCTTCCGAAGGCGCGGGGGGCTTCTGAGAAGTTCCACCTCCTTCTCGGAAAGCCTTCTCCTTCTCTAGAGGCCTCCTAGATGGGGTCCGACTATATGTGGTCGGAGGATCGCACCGCGTCGCCAATGCATCGGCGATGCATCGGCGTTGCATTGCCGACGTCGGCGACGCATCGGCGACGTCGGCGTGAAGAAAATCGGGATCCGCATCGAGCCGCAGGGCCGATGCATCGGGGATGCGGCGCGATCCTCCGACCCCATCTACTCCGATCCCATCTGAGCGACGAAAACAAAGGGGCCTTACGCGAGACGACGTAGCGACCTTACGCCGCGGCTTACGCGGACCGCCAGTGCGGCACGCCGCATTGGAGACGAGGGCGCTCACGCGCGACCTTACGCGGGCAGCTTGCGCGCCAGTGTCGGTGACGACCCCGCTTTCTGGCGTCGTTCATCTGGGAGGCCTCGATTCTCGCTCCCCCCCCCGCTCGCTCGCCGCCGACAGAAGGGCGGTGGCCTCGGGGCTCGGAGGATCGAGAGGCTCCGAAGATCGAGGCTTCTCGCTTCGCCTTTGGCGCGCTGCTCGACCTCGCGGGGGGCGCCCTCGTCGCTCCGCGGCGGCGGACAAGGGGCCCCTCGAGGGATCCTGGCCGGGACGCGCTCCCGAGGAGGCCCGGGCGCTCGGCTCTGCACAGAGGCGCGGCAGCCCCTCAGGGCTCGAGCGAGGAGCGGGGCGTCGGGGCGCGCTCGGCCTCCAGCCTGGAGCGCGTTTCTTTATGTTCGGCGATGACGGGCGTCATGGGGGGGGGGAGGGCGGGGGGCGGGTATGACGTGACGCCCCCCCCCCCGCCGTGTGGTTCCGGCACCACAGCCGCGCCCGCGCGCACGACGCGACGAGCGACGAGCGACGAGCGACGAGCGACGACGACGACGACGACGACGACGACGACGACGACGACGACGACGACGCGAGCAGCATGCCGGGGAAACGTCAGTGGCGTTTCCCTGGCAGGGGATCCCGAGGAGGCCTCTCGCGAGCCGGGCAGGCCGACAAAGAAGCCCCCCCTGCTTCCGCCTGGAGCCTCCGACGGGCGGCGGCTTCCGGGCCTCAGGGCTGGACCTGAACCGCGTTTTGGCGATTTCGTGGGCCGTTATCGCTTCGACCTCGTTTCGTGGTGAAGACGGACCGAAGACAAAGCGAGGGAAAACGGAAACAAAACGAAAACGAAAAGCACCGCTTAGGTGAAGCCCTGGCGGGTCTCACGCACCAGGGCACGGCGACCTCGCGCTACGGCTGCCGCAGGCCCCCCGCGCGGCGCACCACGTGGACGGAGGAGGCGCTCGCGCGCGACCTCTCGCGGGCAGCTTTCACGCGCGAAGGTCCGCGGAGGCGACCCCGCGGCCTCTCGTCGCCCACCCGGGCTCCCTGGGGGGAGCCCGTGCCGGCAAGGTTCACGCCGAGACCTCCGGCGCAGTGCTTCTGCTCAGCCCCCGCGGTTTTGCCTTGAGCGCGGCATCTGGTCGGGGTGCGTTTTCGGGGCCCCTGGGACATCAGAACAGTACCCAAACGAAACAACAGTGCCAGGAAGGGACTTTGAACAAAAAAAAAAAAACATGCGTCGGAGGTCTGGGTCAGGTCTGGGTTGTGGGAGAGACCATGCCAGGAGTGCCTCGCCAGCGCGACATCACACGAGCAGCTCCTGCGCAAGAGTCTTGAGCTGACTGAACGAGTTCCCGCCGCCGTGCACGAAGCACACTTTGTCGTTGGTCACCTTGTTGTGGATGATCTTCTTGCCGTCGACGAGTTGCACCTCGACGGGGATATTCGTGTCCAGCTTCATGTTGTGCAGAGACATCACCAGGTAGCCAGCGTAGTCGAGAGCCACCTTGTCGGGGTTCTTGAGGAAATACTGGCTGACCAGGCGCTCCAGCGAGTCGTCCCAGGTGCTCATCTCGGAGAGCATCTCTGCGACGTCCCCGACGGGGCCCATGATGAAGGCTGAGTTTGCAAACTGGTACAGGGGCGGACTGTTACAGACCCCGTTGGTGCAGGGCGTCGTGGTACGAGTCGTGGCCCAAGTGTCGTCAAGACCCGTGTTCGCGAAGAACGTGCTCCTGGCATTGTCGATGCCAGTGGTGGTCGCGTACGAATAGCCCAAGTCATCATGGAAGGGGCTCACCTCTGCAGCCATCACGATCGTCTGGGTGTTACCGACAGCGGCGAGGATCTGGTTGTACTTTGACTGGATCGTGGCTTCATCGCAGCCAGCAAACAGCATCTCGCCACTGGCAGTGAGGGCCATCAGACTCTGCGAGCCGACGGTTGCGATCTGCGTGTCCATCCACTCCTTCAGCACCTGGTACTTGTGCTTCTGCCAGCCCCAGACGGTCGTCGCCGCCGACGGGTTCTCCATGCCGTTGAGGCGCCTCACAGCTGCGCCTCCGGCGGAGAGCCCCATGCGGTAGGCCGGAGGTGGCCCGGTGGAGTTCTTGGACTCCGACTGCAGAATCCTGCGGATGGCGATCGTGGGCGCGCCGCCGCTGCTCTCGGCCGCGGTCTCGAGCGAGCACGGGGCCACCTCGAGCGCGTAGGCCGGCGCCCACTCGTGCTCGGTGACGGTGCCCACGTCCCTGATAGGTGGGGAGCAAGAAGATTCCGAGAGGGACTCCTCCGACGCCCTCCCAGAGAGAAGGGGCCCTGGGACACACAAATAAATACACACATAACAGGATTCCCCATACTTTCCAATATTTCCTGGGCTTTTGTCTTCCCCCCCACTTCCCATATTCTCCCATATTTTGGGGGAATCGACGATTAATTGTGTCTGTGTGGTTTTTTCCCTCCTGACAGAGTGCGAACTGACCGAGGCGAATCCTGCCGTGGCGGCGAGGACTCCCGGGGAGGTCCAAGGAGGCGAACGCCAGGCAAGGGCATCTGTATCGGTATGCTGTCTTCCTCTGGCCTGTCCGACGGGGTGTTGGCGACGACGTTCCAGGGATTGGGCAGGATCAGCTCGGCATTGTCGAGCACCTCCTGCGCGAGTTCGACCAGCAGAGCGTCCCCCTCGTCCGCCGCGCACAAGCAGGCCGCGCTGACCTGGGGGGCAACGATAGGGGGGGACCGGCATAGGGGGGGATGCCTCGACCTGGAATCGGCGATACATCGCCGATAGATCGGCTATAGGCCCCCGATAAAGAATCCGTGCCTTCCTGGACAGGCTGGGGCCATCGGGCCCCTATCGGCGATCAATGGGCGACTCGGGGTCGATGCATCAGCCCCTATGCCTATCCCCCCCTATCGTTGCCCCTGATGACCAGGGCCAGCACCACGGAGTTGAAGGCAAGCATGTGGAAAGTCACGAAGAAAAGCATGTTGCAAATTCGGGGGGCCCTGCCTGTCCCACCGCGTCGCGATCCGCACATTGAATACGCGTCCAGGGCATGTCGACCGTCCAGTCCACGTCGAATCCACGTCGAACCTATATATCGAATCTGCGTCGAGTCAGAATCGAGGCGGCGTCAAACAAACGAGGGATGCATTATACCGTAATTCACAGGACAAGCAAGGCCCCCAGAAGATGCAACGTGAAGGAGTGTTCCGATTAGGAGGCGCGGTCCAGCAGAAGTGAAGCGACTGGACGAACCAAATTCATGGCAACGGAAGCAGCCGGTCCGGCTCCTCTCACCCGAGGGCGGCCAACAGTGGTCCGAGACCTCCGACGATACAAGGTCTCCGGAAATCCCGACCCGACACTTGTTGTAAAAGATAGCTTTTCGACGATCCTGAGACCCCATCAAGGCCACCAGTGGCCGATCCTCGGCCACTCCTCCTCGCAAGCCTCCCACTGGGAACGGCGACGTCGTGGGTCTCTGGCTCCTGGATCGATAGCGGGAGGACGCCGCGCGTACCCTGGCCCCTCCAGCCTCGGAGAGTACGTCCTCTTGGCTTGGCTGGGAAGGCGCACAGTCAACCCGTATCGTAAGGATGCACGATAAAAGAAGCCAAGGGCCTTGGGAGGTCATGCTGACACTCTGCGAGCGAGGCGCGGCCAGCGAGAGCGACCGAGGACGGACCAAAGGGGCAGGGATGCAAGGGCGCCCTTGGGAGGGCTGCCCATCCTGACCATGCGGGTCGACTGTACGCCCTCTTGGCTTGGCCAGGCAGGCGTACACACACACACACACACACACCTTGTTTTCCGTCGGCGGCTAGGCAGAGGGTGACTGCGCTGACGATGAATGGCATGAACGGGGATACCTCTGAAGCGAATTGTGCCACCATGCAGGAGGGAGGGGAAGGCGGAGGACGCGGCCGAAAGAGGGGGCGGAGGGAGCGAGCCGCTCAGGGTGACGGGTCACGCCCCGAAGGCGTACACACACCACACACACACACACACACACACACACCACAAACTGAGCACAGGATCGGCCCGTCGATGAGCATCGTTTGACCGATCCCCATCGCCACCAGCGTGAGCTGGGCCCCACTGGCCGATGTTACCCCCCCCCGATGGGGCTGTAGGCTGTTCTCTCTTTGGGTCTCGAGGGGCACATCCCCGACTGAGGCGGTGAGAGGCTGGGGTCGAGGTGTGGCTCGGCGGTGGACAAACCTCCTCCACCTCCTCCTCCTCCTCCTCCTCCTCCTCCTCCTCCTCCTCCTCCTCCTCCTCCTCCTCCTCCTCCTCCTCCTCCTCCTCCTCCTCCTCCTCCTCCTCCTCCTCCTCCTCCTCCTCTCGGCGGTGGACAAACCTCCCTTTTGTCAACATCCCCTGAGTGAAAACGGCCTGGGACCGAAACCGACGGACCTGGACCCGCGAAAAACAACGGCAGTGCGACGCCCCCTCGCGAACCGACCACGGCCGATTCCTGGATCGACGTGTCAGGGCAGGAGATATTGTCCACCTCCGAGTGGATGGGCATGGGGACAGGGATCGGTTCAACGATACTGAGCCGAGGAGCGCTGCAGGTGTGCACCGATAGGCCTGTGTTCCACCACCACCACCACCATGAGCTGGAAGGGGGGAGAAGGATGAGGGGGAGGAGGAGGAGGAGGAGGAGGAGGAGGAGGAGGAGGAGGAGGAGGAGGAGAGGAGGAGGAGGAGGAGGAGGAGGAGGAGGAGGAGGAGGAGGAGGAGGAGGAGGAGGAGGAGGAGGAGAAGGACCCCCTCCCCCTCCAACTTATGGTGGTGGTGGTGGAAAAGAGGCCCATCATACACGCCGCGTGCGCTCGGACGTCGAGGAGCGAGTAGAGCTCGGCAGCAGACCCCTTTCGTGCCGACGCACGCCCGGCGCCCAGTGCGGCCCCCGGCTGCGGCGGCGTGAGACGGCGAGGGCCGCCAGGGGCCCAGACGTCCGACGGCGCGACGCGCGTGCTCGAGCTGCTGGCCGCTTGTGGGGTCTTCTGCGGCGGCCCACGGGAGCCTCCCGTGCAGTCGGGCCTGGGCCGGAGGAGCATCCTGCAAGAACATGGGAACTTCCGTCGGCCAGAACACTCAGGGCATCCAAGGGTACCCTCCCCAGGATGCACAAGAGCTTCCAACTAACAGGAAGAACACGAGGTAGGGTACCCTCCCCGAACCGATCTCGATCTTATGCATTGGTCCGACTGTACCATCTTGTCGGCTCGTGCGAGTCGACGCTAGTCGACGCTGAATAGACGCTAATATCCACGCTGAGTCGACGCTAAATCGACGCCAAATCGACGCCAAATCGGGGCTATCTCATCGACTCCCAGACGCTCTAATGGACGCTAATCAACGCTAAAGACGGAATTGCGAGGGGGTACACAAGGCTCCCACGATTTGCCACCGAACGAGGTCTCAGGCCCCTCCCCGAGCCCAGCTCTTTCATCGCAGGCCGATCAGGGGTGGAGAACTGGATCTGCGATGCTCCCAGGGCCCAGGTACGGCCCCCCTGGACGCCGAACGGATGCGGATACGCTGTCGCACGGATGCGTCCCGCGCGGGACATCCGCGAAGAAGACGCCCCGCATCCGCGGGGTCGCGGCAAGAGGAGGAGGAGGAGGAGGAGGAGGAGGAGGAGGAGGAGGAGGAGGAGGAGGAGGAGGGGGAGGAGGGAGGAGGAGGAGGAGGAGGAGGAGGAGGAGGAGGAGGAGGGAGGAGGAGGGGAGGAGGAGGAGGAGGAGGAGGAGGACCCCCGGCGTCGGCATGCTCTTCATCACGTGGACCCCTGAAGGTCTCGAACCTCTTTCCAAGGCGGGCTTCTCGTCCTGAGTCGCTGCTTGACGGTCCTTGTGCTTGGACGCCCGAAATGGGCACAATGCCCAACAGCAAATGTTGTCCCGAACCACCAGCGGCCGCTGTTGGGCAGGCGGCCTTCTGTCTCAAATGGACACGATCCGCGGCGACGCCGACAGCGAATCCTCTTCAAAATGAACAAGAACTGCTGTCGGTTTTTGTACTCATCCTTGCCGTGCCCATGTCGGTCGTCCCGATGGTGCCCGGTGAGGACCCCTGGAGGCCGGAAAGGGCAAACAAATAACGGAGCAAAACATAAAAACAACAAAAAAACGCCCGCCGAGGTTTGTTCGGCTCCGCGCACGAGAGACCCTGGGCAAGAGTGGCCTTTTGGTACGCGGCTTCAGGGGGGCGCGGGGGGCCAAGTCCAGGCGCGCAAGCCGCTGCTATCGCATCGCACTCGCGGGGAAACCCAGTGGGCCAGGCAAAGGTTAAGTCGGGCCTGTCCTCCTACAGGGGGTTTTTGGAGGAAAAATGAAAAATACTCAAAATATACTCAATGTCAAAAATACTCAAAAAATAGTTCCCTGGCTATGTTTAAACTATTTTTGAATATTCCTCCTGTAGAGGGACAGGCCCGACTTAAGGCAAAGGGTCACTCTCACGTGTGGCCGAATTTTGCTCACGACGCGAGGGGGTCCGGGGAGCCTTCAGCATGGGGGACACGGGTCCTGAGGGAAACGGGTCCTGGACCCTGTGGCCTTCCCCCAGGACAAGATCTTCATCCTGAGCCGTTCTCTGACGGTCCTGGGGCCCCTGGAGGGCCCCGGGCGGCCAAAAACGGCGAAAAAACCCAGGACCCGTTTCCCTCAGGACCCGTTTCCTCCATGGCCTCGCCCTCGCTCGGGGATCTACTGACCCAGGTCAATCCGACCCACGTCAGTCGGGCTTTGCAGGATCCGGCAAGATCCTGGAAGATCCTGCAGGACCCTGCACCCAACCCGGGTTAATGCAGCACTGGCTCTGCAGAATCCTGCAAGATCCGGCGCTCTGACTGACCCCCGTTTGCATGGACCCCCATCTCTTTGGACGCCCGAAATGGGTACGGACGACATGGGTGCGATGCTCAATAATAAATGTTGTCCAAAACCGACAACGGCCGCTGTTGGGCAGGCGGCCTCCTGTCTCACATGGACCACGTCCGCATCGACACCGATAGAAAGTACTGCTCAAAATGAGCAGGGAATGCTGTCGGTCTTTCTGTTGATTAGGCAAAAAAAGACTCATAACCCTTTGGGAGGCGACCTAAGTTAAGATGGTCAGAAACATTAGAGGTACGGGGTCTTTTCTACAGATGTCTCGAACCAAATAACCCAGATGTATTATCCCTAAAGCAAGGACGGGGCCCTCAGTGAGGCCATGTCTTCATGGCGTTAACAGGCTTAGGGGTTCTTTTGCTCTCGATGCGTCTTGAGCCCCGGCTCGCGACTCCCCTCGGGCCGCCAGACGTCTGGGGGAGGGCCGCGCGCGGCGGCTCTGCGTAAGAGCCAGGCGCGCCGCGGCGGCGGCGGCGCGCGTCGCCCCGGCTCGCGGGGCGCGCGGGGCGCCCCTTCGGGGCGCCCAGACGGGCACGAGCGGGAGGGGGCGGGCCCTGTCGCGGGTTCCTAGGGGTACCCCTGGCCCAAGGTGAGCTTGTCGCTCAATTTGGAGCCCCACGGGCCCTCTGGGCCTCGTGACGGGTGCTCTGGAGGCCGTGGGGGCCCCCTTGGAGATCCTGGGGGCACCTTGGGCTGGGGGCACTTCTAGCAACACCCGGCCCTGAGATCCTGGCGTTGCAATTCTTTCGAGCCAGGCTTGTTTGCCCTTCGGCTCGAAAACTGACGCGGAAGGATGGGGTCCCGGGGCTCCGGTCGTGAATGTTCGCGATGTTGCGATGATTTTCTCGCGACGTCGGATCCCAGATGATGAGGTGAGATGAGCACTGCGGGTAGCAAAAACAAGACAAGCCAGCATGGAAGTACGGGAATAAGGCCTCAGCCCCAAAGTCGAGCAGGGGATCGACTGCAGAAATGATTGACCCAAAAATTTGCCGCCTCCCCGAGTCATACGTAGCGTGTTCGTAGATACACGGGCAGTCTACAAACTTCTCGT